AATTGGGGACGTATAAACATGTCCAGCTAGTTAATAATATTAAAGAATTTATTGAATGAGATAATGCTTTGAGCTGGTTTTGCTTTTTATTTCTTTGCAGGACTGGAGACCAAACCCAAAGGTGTTCTACCATTGAGCCACATCCCAGCCCTTTTGGTTTTTATTTTGAAGCAATCTAAATTGCCCAAAATCTGCCCAAGTAGCTGAGGATTAAAGGCACGAGCCTCTGTGCCTGGCTGTTTTGACCTGTTTTTTAAAGTGACCTTATCTTTTAGAAATTTACAGCAAAATACAAGCAGCATAGTGATCAGGATGGTCAGAGGAAGAGGATAAAGACAAAATTGTTGAGGCAAAGGATACAATGAACTTGTGATTCCAGACTCCCTTTTGTATATGTTTGCAATTTCCCATAATAAAATAGTCCCATAATAGAAAGAGTTGAGGGAAAAATAAAGTTCTCTCTAAAAAAGAAAGAAAAGACAAAGAAATAGAAAAATAGAAGCCAAAAGTAACAAGAATAATTCCACGGTTTCCAAAAAACAAGAAGAGGCAAAATGGAAGGGAGAAAAAGATTGAAGAATTACATAGTATGAAAAATGTCCCCACTACAGACAGACAGTGATTACTGGACTGCACTGGGGCCAGTGCTATGGGCAGGAAGATCATGCTCCAAGGTACAAGCCTAAGAAATTGCATTCCATTGAGGAATTGGGCCTCAAGCTTCACTTGACTAATGGAGCCAGGAGGTGAGCGGGAGTGGGCGGCTGGGTTCCCCCTCCGCTCCCACTGTACTCCTGCCAGAGGAGCCCCAGGCCCTGACCAACCACAGCCAGTGTGATATCACATGCACCTGCCCTCAGCCATTCCCTCCCCCCTACGTTCTATTAAAAAAAAAAAAACTTTCAAGCATAGTGCAAAATTAAAAGAATTTCACAGCAAGTATCTGCAAGATATCTACTGCTTAGAATTGTCATTGACACTAATGTTTTTATTAATTTTTATTTAGTTAGCTTCATGGGGGTTCTGCTTTTGTGTTTTTAGACAGCCCTGTTATGACCCTGAACTCACTATGTAGCTGAACTCACTACTCGAACTCAAAGTAATCCTTCTCCCTCAGTCTTCAGGTACTAGAATTACAGGTGTGCACCACCACCTTGGCTGACAGTGGCACTTTTTTTTTTTAACCAGAACTATATTCTAAGTGCCATAACATTTACCCATTAAAATATACTGGTTTTCAGTATATTCACAAAAAATATCACCACAATCAATTTTAGGACATTTTCTCTACCTCCATAAGAAACTACATACTCCTTAGAGAGTTGTTCCCATTCTTTCCATCCCTAAATAACCACTAATCTATTTTCTGTCTCCATGGAATTGTTTATCTTAAACATTTTATATTAATGTAATCAGACAGTCTGTGGTCCTTGGTGACTGGCTTCTTCCATTTAGCATACTGTGGACAAGTTTATTTATGTTGTAGTGTGGATCAGTACTTCAGGCGTCAAAGAATATATCATTGCTGGTGGTTCACACCTATGATCCCAGCACTTGGGAGACTGAGGCAGGATTGTTGCCAAGTTCAAGACAAGCCCGGGCTACAAAGTGAGCTCAAGGCCAGCCTAAAGAGCATAGCGAGACCCTGTCTCAAAAAGACAAAAAATTAAAAAATAAAAAGGAAAAAATATGCTATGTTATACCACTGACATTTGTCGTTTGATCGCCTGTCTATTCATCCATACTCTCTAGTTTATGTCGGTTCTATATTTCCAAATCAGCTCACTTCCCTTTTTCTTCTTAGCATCTTTGGCCTGCACACCTTTCAAATACCGGTCAGACCACACGAGGTGCCAAGGAGGTGGGGAGCTGCTGTCGTTAACCATACGTGCACTCTAACAGATGGAGACAAAGGGGAAGGGAGACTGGACGCAGGTTTCCCCACCCCGGAATAGATAATGTCTCAGTGTCACCCACATCTCTCCCCCTGGCCCCTGGCCCATCATCCCCCCACTCAGCTCCTCTGTCCAGGGATGTAAATCCTTCATGTTCATTATTCCATCCCTTGCAAATGCTCCTTATTTGGACGGTCTTCCAGGTGTGATAGATTCTTCCCCATGACCCAGCTTCCTCCTTTCTCTTCAGTGAAATACCCCCAACATACACACACACACACACACACACACACACACACACACACACACACCCCATTACACTGTTTACTCTGCTGTATTGAATTAACCTTTTGACCTGTCTGTCTCCATCAGTCTCTAGATCCTCAGGGCAGGCTAGACTCTGTTATGTCTTGATGTTCCTGGAACTCACTGAGGATATGGCTTAATAAATGTTTGCTGGGTACTGAACAGGGAAATACCTAGTCTCTGCCTTTGCTGTTGTTTATTTACTGAACATTTTGTTGGGTATGCACCAAGTGAGGCCCTGCAGTTAATCCCTGGGTTTTAATTTTTAAAAAATGAGTAACAGGATTCTGAGCCTCAGAGATGCCTTTTTGTCTGGACAAATACAAAACTGGATAAGATGCCAGGATAACAGATGTAAACTGGGACTGTCCCAGGCAAACCGAAGCATATGGTCACCTAATTATATGCCAGCTTGGATGAAAGCAGCAGTACCATGCTGACTCATGCCCAGACTGTGAGCCCCTAGTCCCTTCCAGAAATTTCTTGCTTGGGCCACTCGCTTTTCATTAGCGTTTGACTCATTTGTGCTCTTCATTGTTGTTATCCAGGTAGAAACTATCCTTGAAATTTAATGTTCTTAAAGAATTTCATATACGGGGCGCATATGAAAAGACGTAACAGGAGGAAAATTTCTTTTTCTTTTTCTTTTTTTTTTTTTTTTTTTCTTGTCTTTTTCCTTTTTATCGATACCGGTTCCGGGGATTGAACTCATGACTGCTTGCTTGCAAGGCAGGCGCTTATGCCGCTGAGCTAAATCCCCAGCCCCAGGAGGAAAATTTCTTAATGAACACCTGAAGCGCTTTTCTTCCTCTTTTTCCCTTGGTACCGGGGATCGAGCCCACAGCCTCACACTTGCCAGGCAGACACTTTTGCCACTGAGCTAAATATCCGGCCCAAGGCCTGAAACAGTTTCCAACAGTTTTTAATGTACTGAATCACGGAAGTATAGTCAGGTGTGAGAACCATAATATATTTAGATTTCTTACCAAGCTGCTTTATTCTCTTTATTTTTTAGGTTTTTATTGGTGTATTTTAGATATACACCATGATAACATCCATCATAGGGAATTTGTATCTGCACATGATATATCTTGATTTTTCTTTTTTTCCATTCCCTGCCCTCCCTTATACCCCTCTTCCCTTCCTTTTTTGTTTTGTTTTTGTTTGTTCTTTGAGACTGGATCTCTCTTAGTCCAAGTTGGTCTTGAACTCCCAGCAGTTATCCTGTCTCAACCTCCCAGATACTGGGATTACAGGCGAGTGCTACCATACTGGGCTTCCCCTCCTTCTTTATGAAAATTTTGTTTCCAATTTTTCTTTCTACCCTTTTTTTTTTTTGCCTTTTCCCTTCCTTCCATTTCCTCTCTCCTCTCCCTTGTTCCCCTTCCCATTTGCACACCTCCTTCCTATTTCACAGTATCTACCTTACGTCTTTATTCCCTTTATTGATGGTCCTTTGGGTAGTTCCAGCTTGAGACTATTATGGAGAATGGAGCTGTGGATGTCTCTATATAGAGTCCCTTTTCTTTCTTTTGAGTTATTTCTTTGCAGTACGTACTCCAAACTTAAATAATCTGGCTGGAGGACAGGACACGTTGATACCTCGTCCTCCCTTGCTCTATGTCCTGTTGCTCTCCTAAACTTCTGATCAATTTACAGAGCGAATCTATCTGTTTTCCACATTTCTGACAATAATTTAAATTATTTTAATGTACTGATAAGAGCTTATGATCATCTCAGGGTGTTCTTTGTTGCATTTTTAACTGCTACAGGAATTACGCTTTGTACTCAATGAAAAAGTAATTACAGTTTTTGTGAAAACATATTATGATATAAACATGTACTTTATAATTATATGTATCTTATAGGTATTTGTTAAATATTTGTGGAATGAAAGAATTCCTTAAAGTCAGTGCTGTCACAAAAAGCTACACACCCATGACTCCACTTTTAGGAGGTGCTTAGAGTAGTCAGGTTATAGGGGCAGAAAATAGAAGGATGAGGAGAGGGGGAGAAGGGGGAATAGCTCTGAAGGTTGCTTGCACATCCGTGGAAATGTACTTAATGCTATAGAACTGCACACTTAAGATGGTAAATTTTGTGTCGTATGTATTTTATTACAAATATATCTATAAATATTTTTAACCCATTGATCATTGGCATGTCTCATCAATAGAACTGTCCCCTCTGTATGTGCAGTCTTCCATGTTAAATCCTGCAGTTTTCTCAGTGAAGATGGCAGTTTTAATCATCCAGTGCAGAGATTAAACAAAGATGTGTGATGTCAATGTCATGACACAGCAGACAGAGCAAGCATCAGACTAGATTATACTGTGTGAGCCTTCAATATTAGTAAGAAAGTGATTAACCTTAAAGAATCTTATGTATCGGGGCTGGGGATTTAGTTCAGCGGCATAAGCATCTGCCTTGCAAGCAGGCAGTCATGAGTTTATTCCCAGTACCGATAAAAAGGAAAAAGACAAGAAAAAAAAAAAAAAAGAATCTTATGTATCTACTTTTCTTTGAATATTAAAAAAGGCAGAGCTTAGGAAATCTTAGAGATATTCACTTGAACTTAAAAATGAAATGACATGAGAAATTGATTTTTTTGTTTCAAATTCAGCCATTAGTCAGAGTGGCCTCCTCCTGGCTGCACCAGAGACTGCTGGGAGCCCAAACAAATTAGGGTTCCCTTTCCAAGGAAAGCAAAGAGGAGTAAGTACTCGGATGGCAACAAGCAGTGTCTGCTACCTTCACCTGAGTGTTTTTGCTCCATCTTCTTGTTTGCTTGGGGTACAGGCTGGAACCAATGGTTACATGGCTCCTGAAATCCTCGTGGACAAGGTGAGCTACTCCTACCCTGCGGACTGGTTCGCACTGGGATGCAGCATTTATGAAATGGTGGCGGGACGGACACCATTCAAAGATTACAAGGAGAAGGTCAGTAAAGAGGATGTAAAGAAAAGAACACTGAATGAGGAGGCCCTGTTCCAACACGAGAACTTCACGGAGGAAGCCAAAGACATCTGCAGACTCTTCTTGGCAAAGAAACCAGAGCAGCGCTTAGGAAGCAGGTAAAGGGGCATCAACACTGTCCACAGCAATGACATTGTATTTGTGCCAAATTTTGGAATTTATTATCATATTCCTGATGTTATTTTCCTATAGTGTTAAACATTTATGATTAAGTATATTTCTTTTTCTTTTTCTTTTCTTTTTTTTTTTTTGGAGACAGGGTCTCACTATGCAGTTTAGGCTGGCCTTGAGCTCACTCTGTAGTCCAGGTTGGCCTCAAACTCTCAGATCCTCCTGCCTCAGCCTCCTGAGCACTGTGATGACAAATGTGTGACACCATGCCTGGCTGATTAAGTATTTCTAATGCTTTCAAATCTATAAATACTTGATAAGGAAAATCTCCAAAATATAACTTAAAGGGATTAGATGAGGTTCAGAATAACTTTCATTTAAAAAAAAGAAGAAGAAAGGGAGACAGAGGGTGGCAGAACACTTGCATAGCACATGCTTAAGGCCCAGGGTTCCAGGCCTGGTACAGAAAACAAACAAATGAAAAGGGACACATAATTCAAGTGATTGTATTGAGCTGCAAAGAATTTATAGGGTTGGCTGTCTCTGATGAATGGAAATTGGAATTGGCAATTAATGTAAATGAGGGCTTTCATTATATGCCTTTATTGTCTTATAAATGTTGAGCCATTTCAATGAAGATCTATTAAAAAATGAGTAAAATGAAACTTTAAATAAAAACCTCAATCATACCCCCAGAAAATTCTGCCACTATTGAAAATCTCCCATAAAATTCCATTAATTATTCAGCAGATATTTAGTGAGGTGGTACACACCTGCAGTCTCAGGTACTTGGAAAGCTGAAGCATGAAGATTCCTCGAGCCCAGAAGTTCAAGGCCAGCCTGGACAACATAGCAAGACTATAACATTTCAAAAAAACAAAAACAAAACAATGGGTGACTGCATTATGCAAGGAGAAAAATCAATGGCTTTAGTTTGCATAGATTCATGTCCCTACTCTACTGCATACTGCTCATTTCATACCAAGTGATAGAAACTGTGAGTTTTAGATCTTGCTATGTAAAACTAGTGATCTGTGGGGTTGATGGTGAATTTAATGCTAACTTGACTAGGCCATAGGGCCCAGGTTTTGGTGCAACATTATTCTAAATGTTTTTGGGCAGGCCTTACAGGAGATTAGCACTTAAATCAGTAAGCACGAGTCAGACACCTGATCCTCCAAAACGTGGGCAGGCTTCATGCAGTCAAAGGCCTTGACAGAAACAGCAACCCCCAGAGGAAACCTCTGCTCACCTACAGTTCCGTACAGGACTCTTCCTGGGTCTCCAGTCTGCCAGAGCCCCACAGACTCTGGATTCCAGGTCCAAGTGGATGAGCCAACTCCTTGAAATTCTCTCTCTCTAGCTCGCTCTCTCTCTCTCATATATATATATATATATATATATATATATATATATATATATATATGTTGTTGAAGAGGAAAGACTGCCTCTTTCCTCTATCTCCTCTTAAGTTTGCTGGGGAAGCTACAAATTAAACTGAGAAAACAAATTAACATGAAAAAAGACAGGCTTTTACCATGCACACAGGCAGGAGATTTTTTAAAAATGTAATTAGGAGACAGAATTTGGGGTATATACACCATATTAATGAGGAGGAATGGGAGAGAGAGAAAAACACTCATGGGAAAGCAAATGACTTTTAGGAAACATAAATGGGCTCTTAGAAGAATAGGTGGAAGACACAATAGCTTTGCAACAATCACTGTTTGGGCGAGGTGCTGGCCTCCTCCAGTCATTCTTTCCTGTTTGGGAATCTCCGGGAGGGAATTGGTATCCGTTGAATTCTTTTAGAAGACTCTGCTTTTAGGCATATGGGAGCGTGCAAAACCTATGTCTCTTAATTCTCAAACTCCTTCAATTCAAACTGATTTTGAAGCTGGGCACACACGTGGAATCCCAGCACTCTGGGAGACTAAGGAAGATCTCAAATTGGAGCCCATGGAATCCCAGCACTCTGGGAGACTAAGGAAGATCTCAAATTGGAGCCCAGCCTGAGCAATTCAGTGACTTAGCAAGATTCCACTGAGCGAGAGACAAAGGGAGAGACAGACTGGGGATGTAGCCAATTTAAAGATTCTGGGTTCAATCCTCAGTACAATATAATTTTGATGTCACAGTAGCATACCCTGGGTCCCTTTTACTTCCTGTTGTCTGGGACATTTGAGATTCTGATATAAAGTAGTTAGTAATTAGAAAGTGATAGCAATTATTTTTCATTTATTCTAAGGGAGATATCAGATAACATTCTAATTAAACCTTGAGCTTGAATATCTGAAATTGCTTAAATTTCCAAAATCTAATCAGTACACACATACATGAGCTGGAGATGTGGCACAATGGTAGAGCCCTTGCCTGGCATGGGCACAGCCCTGGGTAGATCCCCACTACCATAAACATATACTATGTATCTTAGTAGTACATAATATGTATGTGTAATTACACACAGAGAGAAATATAGGGTCAGGTACCAAGGTACACAATCCCAGCTGCTTGGAGGTTGAGAGTAGAGGACTACAAGTTCAAGGCCAGCCTGAGCAGCATAACAAGACCATTCCAAAAGAAAAGAAAAACACACACACATTCCCACTCATATACAAAAATATGAAACCTATGGCCATAAAGTGCTGACCGATTTTGAACATAACACAGGAAATCAGGAAGCTAATTTACTGTAAATCTTCCAAGTAGCTGATATTGGAAACTCTAGTACAGGGCTGTCTTAGCTCAGAATGTCCAAGTATAAAGTCAAGCTTCTGTTTTTGGCCTCATTTTTTTTCCTGCTTATTGGGGATAGAGAGCCAACTTAGAGGGCCTTCTATATATATATGCTAGGCAATGCTCCACCACTGAGCCAACCCCCAACCTGATATTTTTTAAATAGTCAAGCAAAATTCATGTGTGGTAACTTCCAAAATATAACCAATGGTGCCAGGGATATAGCACAGTGGCACAGCTTGGCACCTGCCTGGCAAGCATGAGATCGTGAGTTTGATCCCCGGCACAATATATATATATATATATATATATATATATATATATATACCATAACCAATGGCCAAATGAACTAGTCATTATTTTGAAGTTAGATAGAATTCTATATTATGTAGAATTAAAATATGGAACCAATTTTCCTATGAAAATTTCAACATCATATTGATGAAGTAAAAAATAAGCTATACTATAAAGGCAGCTTAGAACAAAACAGACACAACTTAAAACAAAACAGTCCCATTCACCCCAAGTCAGTCCTGGGTTCTGTACTCTAGGGAACGGCTCTTCCCAGCAGTGACTCACAGACCCAGGCTGCTTCCGTCTGCAGTTCCACAGGACCTGCAGTTACAGCAGCGAGCAGGGAGGACTTTTGGTGCTTTCTCCTGCCTCAGCGGGGAGGTGCCCTGCTCCCAACATCCCTCCATACCTGTCTGTCTCAGGCCTGAGGGTGAAGGAGCTTCCAGTCTCCTTTGTGCCCAGGAAGGAAAGGAGACGTGACCTGGATATGGCAGCACTGACAGTTCTCAATGGTCTCTCCTGCCCTAGCTCTGGAGGTCAGGGAGTCTCACAGGACACACAAACAGTGGCCCACAGTCCCTTTCAATGACTTTCCTGAAGTCACACCACCCCCTTGGATATCTCAGTCCACAAGTTTAATTCAAAACCTATCTCAGTCAGCCAGGCAGTAGGTCAGTTATTTATTTATGTATTTAAACATACTCGGGCTGGACCTAGGACCTTCTCACTGAGCTATAGTCTATTTTTAATTTTTGAGTCAGTGTCTTGCCACATTGCCCAAGCCAGGCTCAAACCCATGATCCTCCTGCCTCCCTGAGGCTGGGGTTACAGACATGCACCACTGTGCCCAGCTCTATCTCAGTACTGTAAACACATACTTTGGCTTTACAAGTTGGAATACTGACATTTCAGAAAAATGTCACCCTCAAGCACTGGATCTTTGCCGGAAGCTGCTTTACTAAGCAGATCCCCTTATAAAATATTGTTGCTGTGAATGTTTTAAATAAAAATGTTTATAACATTACAGAAAAGGCATATAAGAAACAGCTGTTTGGTGAAAGAGCTGTTTCTTATAGGTTCCAAAATTTTCATGCTAATCCTGTGTATTTTTAAAAAACTTATTCAAATGGGGTAATGTGTGCTGTATGTAGTGGTGTCCTCCAAAACCAAGACAGATGTCAAGCAGCATCTTAAGAAGTGGAGAGAACATCCCCCTTCTCGCCTGCTTTCACAGGCTTTTGGAGGGCACCAAGCCGTCCCTCCCTAGCATCACTGAAGAGGACTTCCTCCACAGCCTGCACCACTCGGAAGTTAATCTGGCAGAGAAGTCAAAAGCTGTTCACAGCATCTCTCAGTCTCTACACAGAGCCAACTGTGATGTTTGCCAATAAAAGCAAGGGTGAAGATCGCTTAGGATTTTTGCAGATTTCATTCTGCTCAGTTAGTTCAGCAGGACAATAGCAAGTAACAGCACAAGTGAGTGACTTCAATGACAATACTGCTGTTGCAGGCATCTTGGCACACCAAATCCCAGGTGTAGTCCTCACATCTGGGCAGGCGGTATCTTTGCTTCAATAACAGTTATGGAAAATTCACTGTCACCTCTGTGTAGGGTTCAGTACCACAAGAGCCTCTGTCCATCCTCTGAGATATATTCTACTCCAACAAGCAGCATCCCCTCAGTGTCATGTTCCGGTGTTATGAAATACACTGTCTTTGACAGCCCCTCCTATTATCCAAAATGTCAGCACAGAGACCAAAGTTATCAGCTTCTCAATGGCTCAGACCCCAGAGGTCGGAGCGGAAGTTGGGAAGTCTTGTCATCATTGGTGTCACCAGCAACCATACTTTTCTTGGGAAAAATATAAGACAGGGGTCCTGTCCCCCGAGTCATTTAATGGCTGGAGAACATAAGGGAGACTTCAAAGTGGCCTGATTCCCTCATGTTTTGTAATTATCTGAAAAAGACTATGGTCATCCATCCCTGAAGGACACACCAAGGCCTCTCGGGTCTGGTTTGCTTGGAATACCATTCGCTCATCCTGATGCTCTCCAGAGATGACTGAGCTCCTCACTATTTATCCATGTAAAAACTGCTCTGAGTGAATGCCAAGGGCCATCTTGACCCAGGGGCAGTGTGTTCTTGCCTTCTGGCAGTCATATAGGTGGCACAAACTCCTTCCAGGTCCCATGCCAAATCCATCATTCTCACAGATACATCCAAGTCTGGGGTTCATTCCAGATTTGCTTAGATGCAAATCTACCTTTATCCTTCTTCACTCACATTAAAAGTTCATGTGGCCTGGCATGCAGCACACACCTGTAATCCCGGCACTTGAGGGGCTGAGATCACCGTACGTCAGAGGCCAGTCTGGGATGCACAGTGTATTCAAGGCCAGCCTGGACCACATAGTGAGACCTTGCCTTAAAAATAAACAGTCTATCTGATACTCTAGAAAGGTGAATGCTTCTATGTAAATTATACCTCAGGAAATCTGACTATTTTTTGAAAATGTACTTTAAAGTCTCAATCTATCTCAAAGTTCTTACTGTAAAGATATAAGTCACATAAACACCAGCTCAGTAGATTCCAGGAAGTGGTAGGCCTACATTTTTCCTATCTTTCAGTTGATGGGAACATGGTGACTTTTGGATGAAAAGAGATACCTGGCACCCTACCCCCACCCCCAGGCAGCTCGCCAGACATGGTGGAAAGCACCCCGCAAGTCCTGGAGGGCTCTGAACCAACAGCAGCAGGCAGACAAATGGCTGCACCTCAGATGCCTCTAGCTGAGTTCTTCTCTTCCACAATAAAATTAGATTATGATTTTTTCTTCAAAAAATTCACCTTTATTCTCTAGCTTCCTTAGGCACATGGTTATTTATGAGTGCAGAAGCAAATTTATTTTTTTAAATTTTTTTTTATTTTAAAGCGATTAAGACAAAAGAGGACATAACAAAGCAGTTCAGATCAGAACAATGCAAGTAACACAGAATTTTACCACAAGACAAATCATAATTAACAGTATCTACCATAGTGCCTTTTTCTTTGAAATAGATGAGCATAGCTTCATATATGATAGTATCAAGCATAACAAAACAGTGTAAAACCATTCAAGAGAATGAAAGCATTACAGGGCTCTCAGAACCAAATAGCAAAGAACGAACAATGGTTACTATATTATCTCATTTTCCATAGAAAATTTGTTTATATTGTCCAATATAATAATATCCAATAAGATATAACAGGATAGAACAAAAGGCAACAGAAAAACAAAAGCATAGTAGGACTTCAGAGTAAGATGATACTAAATCAGCTCTGACTATTCTAATGTCTTCTTTTCTTTAAAATAGCTGTTTATACTATCACAGATAATAAAATCAAACAAACTAGGATAAAACCATTCCAACTAATGAATGCAGACATTATAAGGCTTCAGAGCAATGTAATTAAGAATCATGATTACTATAAACTCTTTATGTACTCTTACCATTTCTTACACTAGGGAGACTATTCGGTATTTACACATGTGAGTTTGATTTATTTCGTTAATGAGTATGGTCGCAAGTTGTGTCCATTTATTTATAAATATCTCAATGTGATCATTCTTTATAGCTGAGTAGTACTCCGTTGTATAAAAATACCACAGCTTTTTTATCCATTCCTCAGTTGATGGACACTTGGGTTGTTTCCAAGATCTGGCATTACAAATTGTGCTGCTATAAACATGGGTGCACATATATCACTGTGGTATGATGCTTTCAGTTCTTCTGGGAATATGCCTAGAAGTGGAATAGCTGGAATAAATGGGACTTTCAATCCCAGCTTTCTGAAAAATCTCCAGACTGACCTCCACAATGGCTGTACCAGTCTACACTCCCACCAATAGTGCAGGAGAATTCCTTTTTCCCCCAGAAGCAAGTTTAAAAAGAAAATAAAACTGGGCCAGGGATTTAGCTCAGTGGCATAAACACCTAACTGGCAAGCACAAGGTCGTGAGTACGATCATCAGTACAAAAGAAAATTAAAACTACAGGCATTAGAGGCAGACAGGGCAATCGCCTGCTGGCTCAGTTTCTCAGTGTAAGTGAAGAGCTTAACCTCGTGTGAGCTGGGAGCAGTCGTCAGTCTTACCATTAACAGCATCGTGGCTGGGCTTGACCTCCTGCCGTCTTTCCAGCCTGCCTGTCTGCTGTAGTTATTGTCTGACCTATGGGGGTCTTGAGGGAATTTTGGGGGAAACCCTCAATCCTTTTCCAAAACCCTTTCTGATATCTGGAATGGAAAATGTAAAAAGAGGCACCATGACTGCGAATCATTTGTACTAAGATAAATTTATGACAGAAATTGATTTCTTCCAAAGAAGATATCACTTAATCAGACCAAGGACTGCATTCACATATAAGAAAAATTCATTTTAGATCCAAGGCCACAAGAAAGCCCTCCTTTATTTCGTTAAGGCCTGGGTTTAAGAGGGCGCTATGATGGTCACCAAGCTTCCCACCCCACTCACACCTGCATAAATACTTCAGCGTACTGACTTGCTTCTAGCAAACAGAACCCCGCAGAAGTGCCAAGCAGCTTCTCTCCTCTTCTCTTTTCCCTCTTCCTCTTCTCTCTCTTCTCTTCCTCCACCTCATTTCTTCTGCTTCTCCACCCGTGAACCCCTTCTTTGCCCTGGAGAAAGTGAGCTACAATGACATGAAGCAGCCCTGTGGAGAGGCCCATGTGGTGACAGATGGAACCCTAACAGTTATCATAGGAGTGAGCTTGAAGCACACGCCCCGACCCAGCGGAACCTTCAGATGACACCACAGCCATGGCCAACGGCTTTCTGTTTTGTTTCGAGTGTTGGGTTGAACCTAGAGACTGTACCTCTAGAGGGGCTATATCCCTAGCCCCTCAGCCCCATTTTTAAAACAAGGTCTTAAGTTGTTCAAGCTCGCCTCAAACTTCCAATTCTTCTGCCTCAGCCTTCTGAGTAGCTGGGATTATAGACATGTGCCACCACGCCCAGAACTGGCCAACAGTTTCACTGCAACCTCACAAGAGACCCTGAGCCAGAGACACCCAGTTAAACAGTATTCAGATTCTTTACTGAGATAATAAATGTTTGCTGTTTTAAGCCACTAAATTTGTGAGCAGATTTTTACATAGCAGTTGTAAAAATTGACAGTTCATGCAAGAGGTTTTACAATTGGGAAGATGCGCTCTCTTTCTCTCTCTCTCTCTCTCTCTCTCTCTCTCTCTCTCTCTCTCTCTCTTATTTATTTATTTGGTACTGGAGATCAAATTCACAACCAGGCAGGCGCTGTGCCACTGAGCTATACCCCCGGCCCAAGGGAAGATTCTTTTCCCCTTGTTCTTTGGCAGATAGTAGAATAATTTCAAGCATGAGGAAGGAAAGTTTTATCGTGGTAACCATAGTCTGCAGTACCAGATGTCTTCTCATTCATACTATTGTAAATTATTAATGAATTTGGTTTAGTTTCCTTTTTTTCCCCTTTTAAGAAATACCACCAAAATTATGGACATTTGGACAAGTGAATGCATGTCATCTTTCAAATGAGGAGATATGGGTGCTTGCCTTTAAAAAGGGGAACAGAGGGGCTGGGGATTTAGCTCAGCGGCATAAGTGCCTACCTTACAAGCAGGCAGTCGTGAGTTCAATCCCTGATACCGGTAAAAAGGAAAAAGACAAAAAAAAAAAGGGTGGGGGGATAGAAACTGGGCATGGAAGAGCATGCCTGTAATCCCAGCACTCAGGAGGCTGAGACAGTAGGAACATAAATTGAAAGCTGGCCTGGGCTACAGAACAAGACAGTGTCTCAAAAAATCAGTCAGTCAACAAGCCAATAAAATGTGAGTGGGCATTGTATAGGAAAAGATACACATCTTGTTTCATGTGACCCTGAAAGGCCATGGATTGGAAGCTGCAGTCACTGGTCTTCCTGAACTTCCTTGGTGTCCCCCAAAACAATCATATCAAATGATTGACTGTTTTTCATTGTAGTTTGACTTGATTTAATTTTTTTGAGACAACAGTCTCACTGTGTAGTTCAGGCTGGCCTTGAGCTAATTATGTAGCCTTTGTTGGCCTCCAACTCACTGGGATCCTCCTGTCTCAGCCTCCTGACTGCTGGAATTATAGGTATGCACTACCACACCCAGCAAGTGCTTGAGTATTTTGTGTGTGTGTGTGTGTGTGTGTGTGTGTGTGTGTGTGTGTGTGTTTCCTTTTTTATCGGTACTAAGGATAGAACTAAGGACTGGAAGGCAGGCGCTTATGCTGCTGAGCTAAATCCCCAGCCCCAAGTGCTTGACTCTTTAAAAGTCTTGTCTTAATGAAGGCATTCTTTGAGCAATGAAAATGCAACTGTGTGAATAGTAGAATTTTAAATTATTATTTTTCAAAGTCATTCTGTCTTTAGAGTGTCTTTGCAATTAAAGTGAAATTGCATAATGAAAAAAGTTGCTACACACTTTGCATTGGTAGAACGTTTCTTATTTCTGGTTACTATTTTTCTGGCTGAGCATCTCTTTTCTCCACAGAAAAGACTCTGATGACCCCAGGAAACACCCTTTCTTCAAAACCATCAATTTTCCTCGTCTGGAAGCGGGCCTCATTGAACCACCGTTTGTACCAGACCCGTCTGTAGTTTATGCCAAAGACATTGATGACATTGAAGATTTCTCGGAGGTGCGGGGGGTGGAATTTGATGACAAAGATGACAAGTTCTTCAAAAGATTTGCAACGGGCGCTGTCCCCATCGCATGGCAGGAAGAAATCCTAGAGTCTGGGCTGTTTGAGGAACTGAATGACCCCAACAGACCAGCAGGTTACAGGAAGGGTCATTCATCCAAGTCTGGGGTGTGTGTGTTACTGTGACTGTCCCCTCTGCCTGCCGGGGCTCAGCTGACGTGGTCCCCAAATGTCTCAGCACCGCTGCGGGAGGCTGAGCCACCGGAGGAAACACCTCAGCCAGAGGTGGAGGGCTGGAGGAAACCGTGTTTCCTTTTTAGTTTCTTTCTTCCCCTCTCCCCCAACAAAAGTTAGTAAAGTCTCAGTTTTCTTGGAGGGCTGGGAATAGGAACGATCAGGTTTATTCTGATAAACCAAAAGCGTGAGCCCTCCGCCATCACATCCCCAAATTACACACAGTCTGCGGGGTGGAGCAGGGCACTCTGCTGTGTACTTGGCAAACCAGCTTGGCGATTCTTAGTAAATAATCATTTTAGGTCTTTGTGTTTCTCACTTCTTCATCTTTCAGTATTTCTGCTTCTTCTTCGGTACTTAGAATTTTGAAGCTAGAAATAAACATTCCTGATGTTCTCTCCCTTTTTTAAAAAGGAGCAGATTGCAATACATTGGTAATATTTCAGATTACAGAATAATTTTCAGTTTCATGGGGACTGAACCCAGGACCTTTGCACTGAGCTACACCCCTAGCCCTTCTTGAATTTTTTATTTTGAGATAGGGTCTCAATAAGTCACTGCATGGTCCAGGTTGAGCTTGAATTTGCTTCCTGCCTAGCCTGCCAGAGTTCTGGGATTACAGGTACACACTCCCACACCAAGCTGTCAAAGCGCTGTAAATACAAATATCCATGAAGTCTATGAATGTCAAGAAGCATTCTGTAAGTGTGGTTGGGTGTTTTAAGTAATATGCTATAAATTGCTTCTATACACAATCACATTTCCATCCTCCATCAGTTCCTAAACTTTGCTGAAACAGGGAATCACTTAGGGATCTTTTAAAAATACCAATGCTTGGCTCCTACCTGCGTGTGTTCTGATCTGTACCCCACATGTGGGGTATACCCTGGCCATTTAGGGTTGCCAACGTTCCCCAGGTGAGTCTAATATACAGCAAAGTTTCATAGTACTGCCCTATATATTTACATGTTATTGCATGTGAGTCTTGTGTTTGCTTTGCAGTACGGTAATAAAATGCCTGAAATAATCAACTCGAGAAAATGCTTATTTTGGCCCACAGTTTCGGAGGTTTCTGTCCTTGGCTGGGTGGCTCCACTGCGTCTGGGCTCCTGTGAGGCTGTCCACGATGGCGATGGCGGGATTGCATGGTAGAGAAAGCACCTCGCCCTATGGCCACCAGGAACCAAGAGAGAGGAAAGGAGGGGCCTGGTCCCACTGTCCCCCACTGACCTCATTTTCCTCCCTAGGGCCCCTCAGGACCCTTCTCTGTGCCACACTGAGCTCCTCATTTGGGCCGCTCAAACTTCAATCATACATTTGTATGGCGATTTTTCAAATATTAAAAGACTTGTGACTTGGGCAATTGCAGTATAAATGAAACCGAAGAAAATATGTATTCCTTTCAGAGATTCTCTTGGCCTTGAACCTTTTAGTTCCTCAACACACGGTAGAATGCAGGCCCCTTGGCTAGCTCGAGGCCTGAAGAGTGCACAGAACTGAGCAGATGGCAGTCCTCACGTCAGCCAGCACCACACTGCAGAGTTAGTGCTTCTCAACAGCACAGCCACGGTGGGTGTTCCAAGGATGAAAAGTATACTGGGGTCACAATATAAAGGTGGGAATACCTAGAAAAAGACACACAGATTTGATCCTTGACAAAGGAAAAGACAGCCTCTTCAACAAGTGGGGCTGGGGAAGCTGGACATCCGTGTGTGCAAGGCTGAAACTAGATCCCTGTTTCTAGCACTGTATAGAAATCAGTTCAAGATGGATCAAAGACTAGGTATAAAGCCGGAAATGTTGGAGCTGCTGAAAAAAGGCAGGAGGGGGAGCACGCTGGAAGCCCTAGGCACAGGGACTCTAACAGCACGGGAAATAATAGCAGTAATTGACAAATACCACTGTGTCAAACTCACAAGTTTCTGCATAGCATGGAAAGCAACTAACAGAGTGAAGACACAGAATACAAAAGGGGAGGAAATCTGTGCTAGCTGCCCTTTCAACAGAGAGTGAATGTTTAGAATCTATAAAGAACTCAAAAAAACAGACACCAAAAAATTAAATAGTCCAATCATTATAAGGAATTAAAAAACAATCAATACTGGCAAGCATTCTACACTGCTGGGAATGTGAATTAGCATAGCTGCTGTGGAAATCAGTACACAGGTTTTTTAAAAGTAGAACTACTGTTTGTTCCAGCTCTACCACTCCTTGGTGTATAGTCATGGGCTTAAAGTCAATATACATTCCAATATTTACTACAGCACAAGTCACAGTAGCCAGCATATGGAATGGTGCAGTGCCCATCAACTGATAAATAGTTAGAGAAAATGCAATATATATTCATCATAAAGAAAAAGGAAATTTTCTCATTTGCAGGAAAATGAATGGAACTGGAAATCATATTAAGCAAAAAAGCCAGACTCAAAAAGACAAGTATTGAATGATCTCTCTGATTGTGAAACCTAAAAAAGGTGACATGATACTAGAAGAGAGGCTATTAATACACAGTAGGAAAGGAATTAGGGTGCTGGAGTGATATAACAAAAATAATCACATGTAAGGCTGGGGATTAGCTCAGTGGCATAAGTGCCTGTCTGGCAAGCACGAGGTCATGAGTTCGATCCCCAGTACCACCAAAAAAAAACAAAATCACATGCATCGAAACCCAATATTCTGTAAAATTAACAGGCACTAACAGCAATAATAATAAAGATAAACATGTGCATGAGGAAATCTCCTTTCCCAGTAGTGAAATACTTGGCCAAAGTCAGTTTTAAAGTTTTGTCTCTCAAGACATTTACACTGTATATGTCATTAGCACAATTGAACGCCAAGATTTAATTCATGTGAATCTTTAGACAGTGAAATATGTGGAGAACTGATTAGTGAAAACAAATAATCTTTGCTTTTTACATGGTTGTTGTTTGTTTTTGTGTTTTTGAGGCAAGGTCTGAAAATACAGCAGACTGGCCTTGAACTCACTTTGTAGCCCAGGCTTTTCTTGAACTCGAAATGATCCTCCTGCCTCAGCCTTGCAAGTGTTGGAATTACAGGTGTGCACCACCACAGCTTGCTTACATGGCTGCCCTTGACAGTTATAAACCTTAAAAGGGGAAAAAATGTACAAGGAATGTACAGATAAGCACAAGAAATATTTTCTTGCCTGAAGATGTTCCATGTTAGCCGTTCTGATTTTCAGAAAATAATGATGAAAATAACTGGCTGAATTTTCTCAGCTGATGGAAGAAAAGAAACATTGCAGTTATTTAGATATCATTGACCTTTCAATAAATATTGGTATCTGCCCTGCGGCAGGCCAATGATCACAGGAGCCAGACCACGAACAGTCTGGTGAGGGGCAAAGTTTTTACCAAAATTCAAAGAAATAAAGGACAACGCAGTGAGCTTTTCACACACTTTAAAATAGTCTTTTCTTTTCTTTTGAGACAGGATCCCACTATGTAGTTCAGCCTGGCATTGAGCTCACTTCATAGCCCAGGCCAGTCTCGAACTTGCAATGACCCTCCTGCCTCAGCCTCCTGATAGCTGGGAATTCAGGCATGTGGCACCACACTCAGCTAAAATATCTTCTTTTATGTATAGCTAAATATAGTGGAGTTTTTGGCATATAGTTAATATTTGACAAAAGTGAACATTAGAGGTCCTATTGCTATCCCTTAAAAATTTTTTTAAACTACTGACTCGTGAAATCTCAGAACGTGAGGACACAGCCTGCATAACTTTAAAATGTATTATAATTATAGGGAAACATAAGGAAAACCATGTATTGTCTACATAAGGCCTGCATCCTTTTTCTGTATAAGACCAGGTAGTAAACATTTTGGACTTTGCAGATGGCGGCTGCTCACCTATCTCTACCTGTGTAGTGGGAAAGCAAGCACTGACAGTGTGTAAAGGGCTGGATGGGGCTGTTTTCCAATAAAACTTTATTTACAAAGATGCAGAGTGGGATGGGTTATTTTCTTTTTCTTTTTTCTTGTTTTTTGAGACAGGGTCTCACTCCCTACATACTCACTATATAGGCCAAACTGCCTTGGGCTATGGTGATCCTCTTGCCTCCAAAGTGCTGGGATTGTAAGCATGCACCACCACACCTAGCATAAGGCTAGAATTAATCTTCAAACAATAGTTTACTGATTTTAGTCATAAATTAACTCACTATTAAAATGACTGCTTTGACTGGTGCAACCACTGTAGAAAGTAGTGTGGAGATTCCTCAAAACACTAGGGTTGGAAGTCCCATTCTACCCGGCTATTTCCCTGCTGGGTGTTTTGCTAAAAGAGTTAAACACATTGGACCAGGGATATAGCTTAGCAGGTACAAGTGCCTGGCAAGTGAGAGGTCATGAGTTCGAGCCTTAGTACCAAAAAAAAAAAAAAAAGAATTAAAAACATCATACCACAGTGATATATGTGCACCCATGTTTATAGCAGCACAGTTTGTAATAGCCAGATCTTGGAAACAACCCAAATGCCCATCAACTGAGGCATGGATAAAAAAGATATGGTATTTTATATAATGGAGTACTACTCAGCCATAAAGGATAAACTGGACACATTTATAGGTAAATGGATGCAACTTGAGAACATACTCATTAATGAAATGAATAAGACACATGTGTAAACATCATATTGTTTCATTAGTGTGATAAGCTTAAAAACCCACAAGGAATATGTGTATGTGTATATATTTATATAAAAACAGTTAAGATAGTTATACTACTGATTTCTCTGAGTTCACCAAAAGGAAAGATTTGTGCTAGTATTATTTGGACAACTGAATGCAGATGTCTTGTGCTCTGGGTGAATGATTTGGGGATGACAATGAGCAATGTATGTACCATTGTTATCTCAAATGACATATTTTGAGATTTTGTTGCTTCTTATTCTTCTTTCTTCCTTTCTTTCTTTCTTTTTATCCTTGAATAAAATGTACTTGAAAAAACAAAAAAAAATTAAAAAATAAAATAAAATGCATTATATGAGTCTGTGGGCAATAGTTTAACAGTCTATAAATTGCCCAGAACCTGTGGGGATGCAAACCGTCAACTATAAACATATGAATGGGCCCTGCCTCCGTGTGAGTCTCCTGGGCTTCCTTCCCCAAGCATCCCCTAGGCAGCTTACACAACAGAAACATGGAGGCTGAGGGAGGACCTTGGTGGTGAAGCACTTGCCTCTCATGAGGAAGGGCCTGGGTTTAATCCTCGGTGCCACAAAAGCACAAGCAAAGACAAAGAAAAGAGAAGAAGAAACCCCCAGCAATTTGTTTTCTCACTTCTGGAGGTCTGAAGTTGATTTCTCCTGAGGCCTTGCTCCGTCTCTCGTGGTCTTCCTGCAGCCTGGGTCCTAATCTTCTCCTCTTACAAGGAAACCAGGCCTGGATTTGGGCCCACCACAATGACCTCATTTTAAATTAATTCTCGCTCTAGAGCTCCTATCTCCAAATACTGAAGTACTCAGGGTTAGGGGGAGTTTAGGGGATACAGTTCCACCCACAACACCCCCTAAGCCAACTCTATGTCCATGTGCTTACTCATTTTAACATTCCTTTACGCCATATAAATTGGTGATTTTTTTCTACTTATTTGAGCCTATGAACACTACCAGTTTCCTCATTACTAGGTTAAATCTTTAGCAGGCGTTCATCTGTATTTCTGTCCAATGATCATGATTTTACCTTTATTTGAGGAATATCCATTAACACATCTCAGAATATCACAATGAGACCAAGGAATCTAAAGCTAATTTTTGAAATTCTGATTCCACAGTAAAAGTTTTCAGCGAAAGCCTCCTTCCTCTATTCTCTTATAAAGCTCACAGCAGACATAAACCTCTGAACAGAAGGGGCCGGTAGGGTGGCAGTGACCCCCGGGTGCAGCTAGCGTGTCCCTGGGGGTCTGGCGAGGGTGCAGGAGCCAGCTGACGTGTTATTTTTACACCAGTGCACCCCTCCTTGCCTCTCCTAAGCTGCATTGCCAGCTGTCTTGTCCGTTCCTGTACCCTG